AATGACCGCCAGCCATTCAATTGTGAACTCTTGCCCAGTCAACATATGTAGTTGATAATATGTAGTATAATAATATGTAGTTTTATTTAACAGTGGGCACCAAATGATGCAAAATAAAATAATTAAATATATCCGGCGTACGTCTTAGACAGTAGTACGACTTGAGCAAAAACTACATAAATCGAGCACACGTTTTCAAAAAAAAAAAAACAAAAATGAGGAAAGGTTTCAATTAAATCTAAAACATCTTAAAACACGAAATGCAATCCGAGTGAATCCGCAAAGAAAAATATAATTAGCACAAGTGCAACGTACCAGGTGACGCTCGCAGGTCGCACGTACTCCACAGACAGCGAAGGGTCAGGCCCGCTCGTCCGTGTTCGACGACGTCTCGATGTCTTCCTCCAGCAATCGCCACGATGGAAATGAACTCTCACTCGCAGTGACAACTCCCTCTCCGAACTCCTATAGTCGCAAAGCATAGATGCGCAAAAGACTTGTAGACGTGCGACTGCAGAGCGTGCACGTTCGCTCGGTCGAAGATGGCGTTTCAGGAACTCGAACGCCTCTTCTGTTTTGAAATCGAAACGACGTTTGTTTGAATCTTCAATTTGAACATTAAGGGTTTTATAAATTAAATAACGATATTCCATTCTTTTAGTAAACTCTCTAAAAATTTACACTGCAATGAATTAGTCGTTTGGATATTGAAATAAATAAATTGGTGTAGAATAAATTTTATTTTCTTTCACTAACCTGTGTTTTACAGTACACTTGTTTGCTTTTCCTTTCTCAAGTATAAAATTTGTTAAATATTTTATATTTTTAAATATACAGACAAATTTTCACTGTTTTATTTATTTATCACTCATATACATGAATAATTTTGAAGTGCTTTTAATTTTGATAGAAAATTTAGTTCTACATTCCTGCAACACGTGAAGCCATTAAATATTATATAAATACAAACATACAATTTTTTCAAGTTCTAACTTATTAGTTTACAATAAAATTACTAATGATGACACAAACTAGCCACAAAACCTTTGTAAACTAACAAAGTTAGCGCAAAAGAGTCTTACTGTGTACTTATTGAGAGTAGAGTTAAATATTTTGAAATATAAAAAAATCAAACCAAGGTCAAAAGAAAAATATAAATTAATTAAAAAATGTTTAATATAACATTTTTCTTTAAATTTCGTTTATTTTAAATAATCAAAATCAAATGACATTCTGTGAGAAAACACAAAACAAGCAATTTGAATTATCTAGTGAAAACAAACCACTCCTTTGCAAAGTTGAAAAACAATTAACCAATTTTAAATCTAAGTGGTTATATACGTTGTATAACTTTAGCTTTTTATGCCTGTAAAGATAATTATATATTTCTCAAATTCATATTACTGCAGGAAAAATTATAGCACTAAAGGTTGAATACATTCAAACATTATTAATATTACTTATATTTTTATCACAATTTATTCCTCCAGGCCAAGAATCCTGCCTACCATCTAGATCGACACCAGGATTTACATTTCCCACATGATCCAGCCAAGGCAGCGCTTCAACGCGATTGCCAAAATGTTCTACGACTCGGATAT